GGACACCTAATGGGTCTTTCTTATTATCTATCTTGCATTTCGGAATCTCTTTCTTCAACAACCATTCCGTGGATTTCTATCGTATTAGACAGCATGGCTACGTTTCATCATCTATAATAAGTGAACATAGTGACACTCCATTCCTTCACTCTAGCACTTATGGTCGTGCGTACATCACGATCCTCCAATCAACGTTCCTTTTGTCCGATAAAATTATCAGTGCCAGTTTTTGATTTTTATTAATTATTATTTATTGTATGACCAAGTTTATTACCAATTGGACTACGACTTATGACTTCATTTCTGTTTACTGACGGTTACTAACTTAAACATAAAATTAGCAGTACTTATTGGTTAGCTTATTGATTAATGTTATTCTCTCCAGTCTAGGCTCCGCTCAAGCGTGAGCCAGCTGCTGTTTATCCCCACTCCCTAATTATCAGTTTCCCCTAATGGTCCGACCTTTCCTATAAAATGTTTCCTAATTCTTATCATAAATTATAGATCTTTATGTCACCTAAAATGTTTTGGGCGAGGCGTTCGTTCCTGTTAGGGAAGTATAATTTCCCATTCCAATCCCATTTTTTTCTCCATGGTTCGGTTGGCAACAGCCAAAGATTAAGAGCATGTGGATCCAGTCTTCGCCTTTCACCGCAAAGCACCAGATGCCATTACCACTTGGGTCCTTTAGGTCTACGCTGCATGCCACCGCCAATCTGAACAAGCGTATCCCCCCTCTTGGTCCTTTCCGAGGAGTATGTATGTAACTTTCGCAACCATATGACTCCACTGGGGATTGATACCAGCGAAACGTTTTTCAGCCGTTGCTGCCCAGATTCTCTTGCTCTTTAGTATCCGCATGTCTATCGAAATCAGCTTTACCTCCACGGTTTCCCCTATCTCCCACCATTCTCCGGAGAGACTGTCTCCCAAACCCTGCGCGGTCAAGTACCGTTTAATTTTGTGCGCCCAGTAGCGATTGGTCGCTTCCCTGCCATTGCGCTCTAAAGCACCTATGTATAAGATGTAGTCAGCCTGTTACATCTGCTAATTTAACCAGAGTTTAATCGTTTCATTTTAAAATATTTCCAAATTCCTATACTTCCGACCTCCTTTAAAAGACTCCGGCATATTGCTGCGGCACCTAGACACTCTAGAATTACATTTGCAGAAATGTTTCGATGCTTTTCTAATCGATCTACACTACATTCAAGGGCCACTACATTCAAAGAGGCCGCGGAGCCAGTGGCTGCCACCAACCCTGCGCAGCGCGTCGTCGGCTGTCCGCGGCGGCTCGCGCACCCAGGGCGCCCGGCGGATAGCGCGTTGCGCTTCGGTCACGGCGCTGCGCACCGCGCAGCAATGGCCATGAGCGGCGGCTGCGGGTCGGCGCGCCAGCACGCGCGGCGCGAACACGTCGCGGCCCGACGCCAGCGCCGCCTCCAGCAGCGCGCGCGTGCACGGCTCGTCGCGCAGGCTGAGGAACAGCGCCACCGAGCGCGCCGCCGCCCACTCCGGACGCGCCAGCACCTGCGCACGCACGCACACACACTTGGCTTCGGTGGTGTCTCGGCGCCCGACGACTGCTGTGGGCGTTTAGGCGGCTCCACACATGCGGCATTCGCCCCAACCACCGCTCACCCAACCACCGAGGAGTGAGGACGGGGTGCTTGCGATTCGCCGAGCGCCGAACATTCGGCATTCGCCCTACTCACCGCGGATCGGTCTTTAGGAGACGGCGTATCACGAACAACCGCTCACAGAATCCCCAGGAGTGTGGACGATGCGATTCGCCGAGCGCTGAACATTCGGCATTCGCCCTACCTACCTCGTGTCGGTCTTTAGGAGACATCAAAGGGTGCGAACATTCGCCGAACACGTCAGGTGGTCGGGAGTGGGCGAGTAGAATCGTAGCTCGCTGCTCGGCGAATGCCGAATGTGTGGAGTCGCCTTTAGGAAACATCAAAGGGAGCGAACGTTAGCCGAACACGTCAGCTGGTCGGGAGTGGGCGAGAAGTAGCTCGCTGCTCGGCGAATGCCGAATGTGTGGAGTCGCCTTTAGGAGACATCAAAGGGAGCGAACACATTAGCTGTTCGGCGGTAGGCGAGTAGTAGTTCGCTGCTCGGCGAATGGCGAATGTGTGGAGCTCCCTTTCGGCCCATACCTGTCGTGCCCGAGTGTGTCGTACCCCAATCCCGCGGAGTGTGGAAGGGTTGCTTGCGATTCGCCGAGCGCCCAACATTTGGCATTCGCCCTACCCACCGCGTGATGGTTTTTAAACACATCAAAGAACGAACATTCGCCGGACACATCAGCTGGTCGGGAGTGGCCAAGTTGGTGTTGATGGTCCTCCCCGGCTGGAACGAGAGATACGGTGCAGACCTACACGTCGGTTTGCGAGATTTTCTTCTCAGCTATCTCTCCCCAACGGGACAAGCTCTAAGCTCTCGAGAGGTCACCAGACATGTGTGATACTTTTGTGCATTTGTTAAGGGTAGACGTGGGAAGAAAGATGGCGCGCGGTCCGTAGTCCGTTTGTTAGTGTACTGTCGCGTCTTTGGACGTAGGCCTCCTTCACACGGAGCCACTCTGCAGCGCCACTGAGAAGTGCCAGGCGCAGTCACACACAACCACTGACTAGCGCCACTAGGCATAGGTAAGGATGTATTGCTTCATGACACCGCTCTGGCCGCCTGCGGCTGCAAGCCAGTGAACACCTTAGCTATGTAGCACTTCTGAATTGTCTAGGGTTAAGAACTGTAAAGATTCTTTGGCTGCGGGTGGGGGGTGTGCGCCAGTAAGAACCCCAGCACCATCACTGCGCAGCTCGTATGAATATAAACCAATACATATAAATTTAAACCAATGCTTTGCTAGCGGAAGTGACACTCAGAAACGCTTCCAGATGGCTCCGTGTGAAGGGGCCCTTAGACATTTTTTCAAAAAAACGTTCTAAAACAAAGCTGTTCAAATGGTCGTTCCACTTGAGGTGACGTTTGTCAGTGAGGGTCCGATTGCAGGGGAGGGGGCAATCAACTCTAGTCTAGTGAAAGGTGGGTGGCAAGCGGGGTACGGTCTGACCTCAATACTTCCGTCTGAGCAGCAATACTAGAGAATAACTCACGCTGCGTTGTGAGAGAAACGTTGGCTAATGGGTAGATCAGTAGTAATTTAATTAATTAATTAATAAAAGGTCTGCTGTTGCTCGGATAACGCCATACTTGCGTGATGACCCACTGCAGAAAATTAGCAACAATTTGATTCAGCCATATTAGAGGCCAGACGATTTCTCGAAAGGAGGATGCTTGTGTGCAGGGCGAGTTAACCTATTTTTGCTGCATTGAACGTGTTGTATACTTATTTGCCTTACATAAAGCTGTTGTCGCTTCAAAAAGTTAAAAGAAAAATGCAAGATACATGTAACACATGAATTACCGACATTCGTTAAGCTGACAAAATAATTTACTTTCATAATTTTAAAAGTTTCTATCAGAATTTCGAACATTTCCTTCGATATATTTTTTATGAATCTGTCTTGTCAATATATCAGGTGAAAGACCCACATGACTTGTCATATCGTGTTTAGCCAATCCCCTGCCACGTCGTGCCCATCCACTGCCCGGGTTTTCCGAGCACGAGTTCCCACACTGCCCACCGCCACCGACGCGCAACTGGGCAGAAAAACAGCGCCCGCGACCGCACACTCGCACCAATCGATTCGGCGCCGCTCGCACGAGGCGGTGACGCGGTGGGCGCGGCCGCGCAGCCGTGACCGCTACAAGAAAAGGCCATTGGCGCGCCCGATTAACCGCCAAGACCACCGGAAACCGCGATAATCCCCCCCCCGGCCACCGCAGCCGCCGCTTTCCTTGCGACGCCCCCGCCCCCGCCGACGCACCGGCCGCTCAGCTGCCTCGGGGCAAGGTTGCCACTGCGGGGTCTCTGACCGGGAGGGCCTAGGCTCGAGTCCCGGCGGTGGGGGATTTACACATGAGATACAAAGCTAAGTCGAGTTCAGGCCCGGAGTGATGGCTCAGGGCATCAACTGACGTCACTGTCGGCCCTCGGATCGGGAGGGTCTAGGTTGGAGTCCAGACGGTGGAAGGATTTTCGTCACTAGCTGGAGGATTTCCACATGAGATACAGAGCTATGTCGAGTTCGGGCCGGCAGTGATGGCTCAACTGATGTCACTGATGTCCGTCGGACCGTGAGGGCCTAGGTTGGTGTCCCGACGGTGGCAAGATTTTCGTCACTAGCTCGTCAGCTAGGTTGAATTCAGTCGCTGTCTGGAGGGGAATTCTAGCGGCCGGCTGCTTTGACCGGTAGTTTACTGTGGTTCCTCCGATCAACACCAGGCGAATGCTGGAACACGTTAACAAACGGGGCAAGGACCGCGCGCGTTCTTTTCTTCCTTGCCCTATCCTCAGCCCTTACGTTCACACACTTACACTAACATGCCACTGCCACTGCCACTGCCACTGCCACTGCCACCGCCACCGCAATCATTTCCTCCTACACCACCACCACCACCA